GAAAATGTAACCAGAGTTAGCATGTGTTATTGTTGTTGATTTTACATTCAGTAGCACTTGCTCATTGGAGATGATTATGGGTCAATGCTTGCTACTGATTCAAAAATAATGGGGATCCAGTGGTGGTTCAGACCCTTATCAGGGATCAGAAAACTCTTGAGCTGGGGCTGAAAACTGCTATCACAAAGGCATTCCGTGCCCAAACCCAACTGCCAGACAGCCCTTTTAACACATGGTACAGTGAGGTCTGTCCAAGCTGGGTTTTGGTGAACTCTGAAAATAATTAAATTCTACAGAAAAGTTTGATTTTACTTTGATGAGAAAAGCAAACCACTGCATTTCTGTACGGACATTAGGGCTCATGGAGATGCAGTTTGCAATACTAGCTTATGAAGTCTGCTCAGACCACTCCAAAGGTATACTCTGAGCTCTCACATAACACAGACCTTTTGACATCCTCATGCTGATTTCTGAATAATTTATGTATTTGTTTATCACAACCTCAGTTTGCTTTGTGACCCTGGGGTAATCCTCCATGATTCACCGTGTTCAAGGGCCTCATAACGCTCCTATGAGCGTGAGCTGCCCACTACAAGCTGAACCTGACTAGGACAACTGTGTGCCTGACGGTCAGCATCAACATCATCTCTGATTTGGTTTGGTCCAAAACATGCCAATATTCTAATTTCTTCAAAAACAGCTGCTGGCAATGGAACATCCTCAAAAACAAACACAACTTACTCTCACAGCTATTCTTGTTTCCATGGAAATACACATTGACAGGGCTTTTTCTTTGATTTTCAATATTCTATCTGCCAGTCTTCCATATTTTCTCAGACTACTCTGGTAGCTGCATAGATTGTACCCGAATACAAAGACTGCTGCAAGTGTGCCAAATATGCACAAAGCCAAATAGACAGCTGCTAGGCACATCCCCAGGAAAGAAGCAGTACGATGCTCATTAAGGTGCTTCCTTGATCAGAGAAGAGACACCAACCAGCACACCCAACAAGATGAATGCTAATAACAGCTCGCCATCAGCACAGTCACATGTTAGCCTTAGACTCCAGCTTTACATTAGAGGGAAGGACATTGTATTTGCAGTGCAAGTCTGTCCCCAGTGACTGCCAAACCTTTTGCTTCTGGATCTGGCTCTGCATTGTCTCTCACCATATGTCCCTGTTTCCAGCTACCTCCTCATGCCTTATCTCTTCTCTGTGTGCATTTTCTATGCATCTGCCCAGCAAGAGGCACCATTTCTCCAGAGACTCAGTGAAATGGCTGAGGGACAGCCACAGATGATAGCATGAAGTAGAGCCTCTGGGCTATGAGCGGTCAGTTTTCTTCCTCAGCTTCGGGCAGTTTGTTTGCAAAAGCTTGGCAGGGGCTGCAGAAAAGGGCCGGCCACCCATGGGAGGAGGGAGGCATTGCCTGCATCTCACAGGTAGGCAGCTTGTGCAGGAGGAAAGCAAGAAGCAGGAAGCGACAGAACAAGAGGTTGAGCACAGGAAAGGATAAAAGGAGTCGAGACTGAAGTATCCCAGAGAAGGATTTTGGCTTTTGTCAGGCTATTGCACCAGCACTGCGGCGTGTTGGGTTTCAGGCCAAACCAGGTCTCATAGGACTTCATGTTCAGCATTAGGCCTTAGACTCAGTGCCTCATGGAAGTCTTAAAATGGTTCATCAAGCTTCCCACTGACAGGGAAAGGCTGTGTTGTGAGGCTCTGGTGAGCCTGCAAGTGCTGCGGGGGCTGCCCCTGGCAGGGAAGACACGTGTGGCTCACAACAGTTAGATCAGGGTCCTCCCAGCAACAGTGTAAACAGCATGAGAAAGAGAACGCAGAAATTGCAAAACAGATGGAGACAGGAGTCAACCTGGAAAACTTTTGCTTGTTGCTATTTAGCAAGGAGGAAATAATTCACCAGCTCACATTCCCATGGTGGAGGGAGAAACAGTTCTAAAAAGTCAAATTGTTAAAGTCGAAGCCAAAGCCTCGTTAGAAGAGCTAGCCAACTGTAGAAGGGGAGATGCAAGAGAGAAGGAAGGCAGTGCACAGGCACCAGGGCAGCATGCACAGTCCCCCTATGCCAGGACACACAGAGGCAAATGCTCGACAGAAGCCCCAGCTCAGCCCAGCAGCAGCAGCCACGGGAGGACTGACGCTCTGGAACGAGTTCAGAATGAGGGTAATAGCTGCTTGTGCAACCACAAGCAATTGGTTTACAATGAGGATATGTTTTCCTTGGCTCTGAGGGAATTTGGAAACGGTTTACAAACATTTGTAAGGCATAAGCTCAAGCAGGAGAGAACTGTCTAGCCAAAAAAAGGCAAATTACTTTTGAGAGAAGATAAAACAGTAAAGAAAAACTGAAGCAGAATGTTAACTAATAACATTTCACCAAAGGGCTTTCACAGGTTGTGAAACTGCTCTTCCAAGCAGACTGGGGGAAAACCCAGGTACAGGCAGTTCTAGAGCCAGACTGGGAAGGATTAATTAATACATGTGAGTGGAGAGCATACAGAAGAACTCATTGACTTGAAACAAATATTTCCATCTACATAATCCATAGGCATGATTTCCCACTGTCCTGCATCTCTTGCTATCATTAGCAGTGATGCAAACAAAGAAACTGTTTATCAAAGGAGGAGGGTAACCCTATGGTACTGCTCAGCCTATGTGCATAGATTTCTCTCATTTCCAGCCAAAAGAGAATTAGGGTTTAAATTGGTGTAGGGGAAAATGACGCATTAGCAGCGAACCTCTTTGGCTCCTCCAGAGGGCACCTCCTACCCCATCCCAAGTTTCCCTTAGTCTTGATGAGATGGGGATATGACTTCAGTGTTTTGATAGCATATGCCTCCAAAAGTCATACCCAGCTACTTCTCAAGCTGTCTGACAAGCCCCCTTCCTACTGCATTTGGGTGGCTGCCTATGGGAGTCCATAAGATCTACACAGAAACCTGAAAGGTAAGGTTCAGCTACAGCCTCATTCCAAGCTGAAACAGCAATCTGCCAAAAGCCCTAGGAAACCCATGCTTCACCAGGCACACACTTGCCAGCTAATAAGTTTCCACAAAGAGTGCAGCAGCGGCTTGACAACGGCTGTGCTGCAACTCCTGTTCGTGGTCAGCACCTTCAGCAGTGAGCCAGGCTCTTCTGACAGCAGAAAGCTGCTCCCTGGCCCAAGGATGTTCACATAACTAATTACCAGGCTTTATAACCACCCCCTACAGACTATGATGATGACGAATGAATTAGATTACATAAGTCAATACGGTTCATTGGTGCAGTTTGCCCACTCAATACATCCTCACTGTGCGCATCCATCAGTGTGGAGGATGACACGGATTCAAAGTCTTTTCTCATACTAAATGGAACCACCACCTACCTGCAGCTCTCTAGCTTCTCCCAGGGACTCCCTGGGCCTTTCCTGGGTCTTTCTCTCACTCTCTGTCATTGTCCTGGATCATCCTCGAAGCTCTTTGGTGACTGCCTTGTCCTTCCTTACTGAAACAAAGCAGATTAAGCTGCATCTATAATCTATACTGGCTACATGATAAATTGCTGAAAAGCACTAAGGTCACAATGCAGTGCCTAACAAACGTTCACTACTGTTTTCCTCTGCCTGACAAAAACAGAGTTGTTCCACTGTGTGGCACAGCTGCTCTGCACTCCACAACAGGCAGTGATTCCCTCTCTGCTGAATGATATTTCTAGGGCAAGGCATTTTCAGTGGCTGTTGAGATCTGGACGCCTACAGAAATTCTGAATCTACCACAGTAACTGCAGCCAGCCTGTTCCAAGCGGGTACCTGGAAAGCTGTACTGCACTGCCTGCAACACTGCTCCAGTTCCCTCCTTCTCAGACCTGACATATCCCTGCAGCAAGTAGTAGCTTGCATTAGCACTAAGGGGAATAGGGGTGCATAGCTGTAAAGTGCTTTGTGCTGAAATTTGAGTGCCGTGCCGTTCTGACACAGATTCCCAGCGGCCCCAAGCAGGCCACTTTCATCTCCTGCGGCTGTTTGCCATCTGCAAAACTGGGCTAGCATCCTTCCTCTTTGCAACTCTCTCATATCGACCGTAAACACGGATGGGCTTCTCTGCGCGCGAGCACTGCGCAAAATAAGAGGCACGACTCAGAAAGAACCCCACACTGCGAGAAGGACGCCTGCACAGAAGGACACGGGGCCGGCGGGTGCACGGCGGGACCGCCGCCTTGAGCGGCAGCGGCGCCGCCCGGCCCGGGCCCGACGCGGGGGCTTCGGGGCGGGTCCCCCGCGCCCGCCTCCGCCCGCCCTCGCTCGGGAGCGCGGCTTGGCGGGGCTGCGGCGGGGCTGCGGCGGGCGGCGCGGGGCCACGCAGCCTGCGGGCGGCCGCCGTGCCCGCCGCCGCCCCGCGGGTGCCATGGAGGAGCCGCCGCCGCCGCCGCCGCCTGCGGCCACCTGATCCCCGCGGCTGCCGCCTCCGAGACAAAGCGCGGGGCTGCCCGCCGCGCCCGCCCGGTGAGTGCCGCCCGCGGCTCGGACGCGCCCCCCTCCTCCCGTTCGCGGCCCGAGCACCCCCGCCCCAAATACCCCTCACCCCAAACACTTCCGCCCCAAACGCACTGCCGCGGTTCAGCCCCGCGCTCCGAGCATCCTCGCTCACAGCACCAATACCCCCCTCCCGCCCAGTCGAACTCCCCTGTCCGCAGCCCGGGCGGCGGTCCCAGCGCCCCGACCCGCAGCCACGCACCCCTCGCGCACGGGAGAACCGGAGGGATGGGTGCGGGGCTGCCCTCTCGCCCCGTGCGCCCCAGAGACCCCCCGCGTCCGCAGCCCGTACCCTCCAGACACCCCCACGGAGGGTCGCAAAACACCACCGCTACCAGCCGCCCCGTGCTCCCCAATCCCACCCCACCAAAGCTCCCCGGGCACCGAACTCCCGCCCCTGCTCGGCCGCTCCATCCGTCCGTAGCACCGTGCCGGAGGGACAAAGAGGACCGCAGGCTCACCCGCCACCGCTCTCTCCTCGCAGGCCCAACCATGGTGGAGCCCCCAGCAGAACCCCCCGCGCAGCCCTGTCCCGCACCCGGCGGGGCGACAGCGGCGACGCCGGGGGAGACGTCCCGACCCGGTGAGCAGTCCCCGCTGCTGCACCTGGACCTGTACAACTTCGACTGCGCGGCGGCGGAGGGCAGCCGGTACGTGCTGACCAGCCCCCGCTCCCTGGAGGCCTGCGCCCGCTGCGCCGTGCGGCCGGTGGAGCTGCTGCCGCGGGCGCTGGGCGAGCTGCTGCGCGAGGCTCCCGGGCGCTCCATGAGGGTGGCCACCGGCCTCTACGAGGCCTACGAGCGGGAGCGCCGCCGCAAGCTGCAGCAGTGCCGCGAGGAGCGGGAGAGGATTATCCGCGAGGAGAAGCGGCGCATCCTCGCTCCGCTCGGCAGCCTGCCTCCCTCGCCCGCCGCCCGCCTCGCCCCACGGGCTGCCGCCAGCGCCGCTGTGCCCCGTGCCGTGGGGAAGGCTGGGGCGTCAGGAGGCGCCAAGGCCAAGAGCCACTCCCTGGACTCGCTGCAAAAGCGTCGGGAGGGCAGCTGGGGCAAGACCTCCTCGGAGTCGGGAGCGTCGTCCTCGTACAGCGGGGAGAGCCTGCGGGGGCTGGGGGGCAAGGCGCGCGGCCGGGGCCGGGTGGCCGACGGCTCCCTGCTGGGGCGCAGCTTCAGCCTGGGTGACCTCAGCCACTCACCGCAGACCGCCCAGAGGGTGGAGAGGATCGTCAGGGAGGTGAAGAGGAAGAAGGGCCTCTCAGAGGTGCCTGAGAGGGACAAGAAGATCGCGGCGCTGATGATCGCCAAGCACCAGGAGGCCAGCCTCCTGCGGGAGCAGCGGCAGGCGGCCCATCTGCAGTGGGACAGCCAGCGGCGCCTGGCGGAGCAACGGAAGGAGCAGGAGGAGAAGGAGAAGCAGAAGGCCCTCCTGCAGGGCCAGCGGATGTGGGAGAGCCAGGTGGAGAAGCGGCGGGGAAAGCTGAGCCAGGAGCAGCAGGAGGTTGCCCTGCTGAAGCAGAAGCAGAGGCAGGTATGTGAGGAGAGGTGGCGGGAGCAGGCGGAGAAGCAGGAGCGGCTGCGGAGGGAGAAGCTGGAAAGAGCCGTCCAGGAAGACAAGCAGAAGAAGCTCCATCAAGAGCACAATCTGAAGGTGAAGGAGGACAGCAAGAAGGAGCAGCGGGAGCGAGAGGAACAGATCCTGCAGGAGAAGCTGTCCACAGCTGCGCAGAAGAGGCAGAGGAAGGAGGTGCGGCTGCAGAAGGAGAGGAAGCAGCTCAACCAAGCAGAGAAGCTGAAGCACGAGACTTTGCTCAAGGAACTGGCCAAGCAAGAGGCAGAAGAGAAGGAAATGCTGAAGGCCTCCCTGGAGATGAGCTTGTCCAAGGCTCAGGAGAACTATGAGCAGCTAGTAGAGAAGAGGAACCAGGAGCTGAGGGAGAAGGCCAGGCGGGAGGACATGCAGATCCAGAGAGCTAAACTGGCAGCAGAGAAGAAGGAAAGAGAGCAGAAGGAGCACTTGGAGGCCCTGGCTAAAGAGACAGAGAGGAAGCTCCAGCATGCTGCCCAGGTGGCTGAAGAGGTGGTCCAGGAAAAAGCCCGCAGGTTGGTCTTGAGCCGTCTGGAGAAGGAGAAGGTGCAGAAGATGAACAAGCAAAAGGTGGAACAGTATGAGGACTTACGGCGCAGGGAGATTCTCCTTTCTATCGAGAGAAAACTGGAGAGGAGCGAGCAGATCTTCAAGGAGAAGAAAACTGTCTTAGAAAATGCCAGGTCTGTAGCTCGGGCATCCTTCCATGTCCGGGAAAAAGTACGGGAGGAGACCAACACACGCACCTTTGACAAGATGGCCTTCGAAGCAGAGCTGCACGCCAGCCTGGATAAGAAATGAAAGGTCTTGCTGGGGATATGTGATCAGTTGTCCCTCATAATGCATCAGAAAGCTCCTCTGCATTAACGGTTAGTATTTTAAAAAAATAAAACTAACCACCCTAATTCATTATTTTGGGGGAGCAGGGTACCGCACAAAAATGTGGCAGCTATTTCACATACTTCTTAAAACTTGTTTTTGTTCTGGATGTGTTTTAAGGACTGACCTCAGTCATCTTTACAAAGGGGAAGCAAGCTTTTGCGTCCTCTACCCCACAAGCACAGAGGGCTGCAGAAGAACTTTGCGTGATACCTGTCAGTTACCAATTGATTGTCTAAACTGGAGCTGACTACAACGGCACTATTTTTTGTTGGAAAAACAGACAATAGAGACTATGGGCTACTCTTAGAGCCTATTGACAAAGAACCCAAACCAAGCCAGCTGATTTTGGTTTGAGTGACATTCAGTGTGGTTTAAGATACGGGATTGCATTTTCAAAGCTGCTGCGCACTCCGGAAGATGAAAATGGTTCTCTTGGAAAAGTCCATGGTCCCCAGGTGCGTCTCATTCACTGCTGATATCAAACACTGGGGAAAGAAAGCGCGGGTCAAGGCTTCACAACACCGTATAAGCAGGCATTACAATCCCAGTCAGATGGAAGCTGTTAAAACGCTCACAATCTCTGCAGTTTCACTTCTGCTGTTTGCAGCTTTCCCCAGTATCCTTACCCTCCTTTCCAAATGTCTCTTACAAAGGTCCGCAGAGTTTCTTCTTCCAGAGGAGAGGAAGGAAGAATCTGTGGGCAATCCACAAGCTGACAGTCATCCCAACAACCCATTTGTACATTAAGACGTACAGATTAACAAACCTATGGAAGCTGGTCCTTGTTGCAAACGTGCAAATGGAAATCTGTGAACAGATTGCATAAAGGGGCTGAGGAATATCCACACTGGAATATTCATGTTTGACAAGAACCCGAGCAACCTTCTCCAGCTCAGCCTGCTTTGAGCACGAGGCTGGACGAAGCATACACCAGAGATCTCTTCCAAACTACTGGCTGCATGAGTTGCTTGCAATGAGACTGTCACCCTGCTCTTACTGTTGTCTGCTGAGTAGGGCAGCTTTTATCTATCTGCTGGTGCTATCAGTTGCATTATTATTTTAGGGCACAAGAAAGAGGAGATGCACAAAATAAGGTATGTTACAGATTGTCTTGGGTGACGATCACTACATTTTTTACAACTAGCTGAATACTATTTTGAGGGAAACAAGACCTTTTGACATGAATGCACTGGAAATGTGAAAGCCTACCTACACCCTGTGGACAGCATTCAAGTCAGTGTTCTGTTCCAGTTCTCCATGTTTACTCACTGCCAGGTTGAAGTTACAAACCCGCATCCAAACCAGGCACTTTCTGTTGTTTTTTTTTCTGGCTCCAGGCAGTGCCAGCGCTGTGCTCCACCATCCATGAGCGTGCTGGGTTGCTGTGGTGATAGCTGTCAAACCTGGAGCAAGGGAGAGAAGCGGCAAGAAGAGCCAGGTTCTTATTTCCTTGCAGATGTCTCTGACGTACAACACAGGGAAAGAGGAAACCCGAAGAAGGTGACACGGGCATGCGGTGTCACATGCATAGATCACTTACCTCTCAGAAGGCTCTAAAGAAAGTATTAAATGAATAGCAACAACAGCAGTAGACCAAGCACACTCTGGTACCCTGCAAGGCTGGAGACACTGTAAAAGAAGTGCTGGAAATGAAGTAATCTTGTAAAGTAAAACTTGCTGTCTTTGAATCACAGAGTGATTGGCACTGTGGGGGCAGATGGCACAAAAAGCAGGAAGTGGGACACCTGAGTTGTGCTAGCTCAGTTGTTGGCTTGATAAGTAACATCAGGCACGTCCTTGCGGGCTGGCCCTGCTCCTATTGATATAAAAGGAAGCAGAATCGGCCTCTTGGGATTGAGGTGGCTCGCAGGAAATAGTAACACACGGCTTAGCAAAGCACTTCCAGGACTTTGGATGAAAGATGCTAACAAAGCACAAAGTACTGATTTATTTATTTGTTTGTTTGAGGTGTTACTAAAAAAAAAGCACATCCGTTGGTGAAAATGGTCAGGTAACTCCAAAACCTAAAAAATGCACAACTGTGGGAAGGACAACGGTGCTAGCGTTTCCAGCTAGGAGCTTGCCACTTCACTCTCCTCCTTGAAACTACAAGTGATTTGAAAAGAGAAAGCAATCTTGCTGTCCTGCTGTACCACCAGTCATGTTTATGCGCTGTTTGTACTGCAGTGTGTAGCGTGGTGGGCGGATGAGTGGACACAGCCACTGACATTTTTTCCCTTAACTGAATTGCACCCTCTGATGTTACATTTCCAATGCAGATCAAGAAAACTTTTACAGCCCAGGAGAGGCGCTTTGGCCACTGACTGTAATTACACCTCAAGTCCGTGTCTTGCTGCTGACTGAGTTTGACAGCTCAGGGCTACAGCCAAACTAATCAAAGCACACCTCCATGGTGGTAATTGGATTGGCTAACTGCTGTTCCTATTCTGCGCAGTGTGCAGCTTGAGTTTTGAATGTGCAATCTTTGGAAAAAAAAATATTTTTTTTTCAAAAGACACAGATTCGTGTATGGACTTTTTCATTTCTGTAGATATTCCAGTATAAAGCTTGTGAGAGTCAATGGAGTTTATAGCTGTTTAAAATTGTAACAAAGAATTTGCTTCTAGATCATGTGCATGCCTGCTACAGAATGACCTCTAGATCTTGGACTGTCTGCACTTTAAAAGTGCAGGCAAATGCCTTGTACTGGGTAATTGCTGTGACTGATGGCACATCTTAGGTCTGGCTAGCATTGAATTCCCAGGTTTCTCCTCCTAAACAGATTTCATATTGGATTCTGTAGGTCTAGTGGATCAACCCAAAATCTAGATCCAAATGCCACTATACTCTCAAATCTGAAACCAAACACATGTGCACAAACCTGTAACTTCTCCTATGAAGTGCTGTACAGGTTAGCAGTGCCGATGGACTGGAGCTCCTGCTAGCATTTAACCTGCTGGAAACCTCTCTGAAGAGTTTCTGAAGTTGAGATATTGCAACACTGGGGAGAGAGACTCCATTATCATCTAAATGTTCAAAAAAGAATTACAGTACCAAGTCTTGAGATTCATTTTCAGCTAAAGCTGGAGGTCTTCAGAGCTGGTCAAAGTTCCAGCACTGAAACTGTCTCTTCTGAATGCTACCTCTTAGCAAAACATTCATCTCCAAACCATGATCTCTGTCAAGGTTGTATTTGTCAGACACATTCAAAAGCTATTAGGAGCCACAGCTGCACCCCCAGTAGTTAATGTTCTACAAAGTATTTTTAACCCAGTTTATCACAAACACTTTCACAGCATGGATAAGAAAGGTGTGAAGATGAGATTTCTCACCTTAATTACCTTCTCTTAGGGAGCTCTAGACTCATTCTGTGCTAAGCTTTCTCCTGATGCCAGGAAAATTTTGTGCCAGGGAAATTTTTGTGAAGTTTTGTGCACAAAACTGATAGCGAATACACAATATGCACAGGTCTGAGAGGTGCGAATGTCTTTATTAAGCCCACCTTGGACAGGGAGATACGGGGAATGCCATATTTGCAGTGCAAAGTCAAAAGTTTTCCAGAGGTTTTTCTAAGGATCGCATCCAGTAGCTATCCTCAGAGAGGCGACATTTTCTGTTCCTTTATTCACCTCTGAGAAAGCCTGGTTGATGCCATCCTACCTGAGAACAAGTTTTCATCACCACCAGGCATTACACTAGAAGAAAGTATTTGCCTTTGTGTGTGGCTCTTCTTCCTCTGGTGGTTAAGACACAGTAGTTAGAACGCAGTTTTTCAGGTTTTGCAGGAGTTTTTTGTTTGTTTTTCATTCAGGTGCAGGGTGTATAGGAACAAGGCACAACAGCAGTTAGATGCAGTACTCTGCAGGTGGTGGCTGTGGCTCTCTGCTCACACTTCTTTGCAGAACTGGGTTTGAGCGCTTGCCCAGCAGAGCAGCCTCCACGTCTAGGAGAATGGAGGTGCTCTGGGAGGGATCCACCTGCTCTCACATTATGCAGGATCCTTTCAAAGCATGCCTGTGAAAGGTCTTAATGCTTTGCTGAGTTAAGGGCCTAAGAAATTAAGTTTGTTAGGCTCAAACTTACTGTTGTAGTTGAAAAAGAAGGCTGTCCTAGACAAAGAAGGGTACTGGCTTGCTCTAAAGTGAGCCGATGAAGCATTAACATAACTTGCTGCGGGAGTGCAGCCCCACATCCCCTCTTTGGAAGCTTCCAGATGGTACTTCAAAATGCATTGTTCACTTATGCACAGCAACCAGCACTCTGGGGAAGGCAAGTGGTCAGAGCCCTTGTAATGGGATATGCCCCGTGTCCCATATGTCCCTGTTAATGCTAGGGCATAAAATATTCAGTTCTGGATCTGATTCTTTTGTTCTGTGCCTATTCATTTAAGCATGGCTCTTTGCTGTGAAGCACAACCTTGTCACTGTAGGGTTCTAGTCTGAAAGAACCCAAATACTTCTCTTGCAACTTTACACTAATTTCCCCTATTTCATTCAGCAAGAAATATCCCTTGTTACAAAATCCCACCAGCAGCAAGAAACATCCTGGATTATGAAATCAAACTGCCAGTGCTATTTTACTGTTATGTGCTTTACACAGCTCTCTGCATCCAATCCAAGGACCAAACTGTGAGGTAAATGAGTTATTGCCCCCGGCCTCAGCACAGAAAGACTGAAGCAGAAAGAACGGATGTGACTTGCCCCAGGCCATGCTGGCACTCAGCCGGAGCTCTCACTCGTATCTTCCCTGTTCCCCCAGCAGCCCTAATTAACCTCCTTGTTGCAAAGGGAGGGTATGCCTGAGCCTCTGCTGCGGCAGCTCCTCTTGTTGCTGCTCTCCAGCTGGAGCTTCACAGGAGTCTTAAGATGCCAGCCTTCACTTGTAGCCCTCGTCTTCAAACCTTAAAGCATGCAAAGGAAATGTAAGGATATTTATACTTTCAAAAGGGGAGGCTAGTAGTGAATGGTGCAGGTACTGGGGCATACAGGAGCAAGGTGGGGCAGGAGGAAGGTGCATTAGAGGGAATGGGCTGGGGCACATATAAGAGTGTTAAAGAGAGCGGGCATGAGCTGAGTGAGAATACCTACACCACCCTGGCTGGCTTGAAATAACTATATTTATAACAGCGGGAAATAACACTACTCTTTCAGCATGCTGAAGTCACACCTTCATCTCATTACTTACTTCACTGGAGCTAACAGCTACTCCAGGAATTAATGCTGACCAGATACTTTAGCCTTTCTATTATTTATGCCAACCACGATGTGTTAGGATAGATTATGTCTCTCAGAACCTGGTGGAAATTTCCTCTTGCTTGACCCATACCTGGACAGCAGGATGTAGGATCACACAGGTGCTCGGGTCTTAGCTACAGTGATGAGCCTGCTGATACTCCATGCTGCATTTCTGGGTGTTTGCAGAGAGCACAGCTGGCACAGAGGCACCTTGTCAGACTGCAAGCTAAACAGTAGGGAATGAGAGGTTTGGCCCTGTGACAGATGTTACTGGGAACATTTGGGTTTCTGGGAGAGCGATAGGATAATTTCTTCTCATTTTTAATCACCTCCTAAGTAAGCTGTGCTATTTTTGTCAGTTATTTAATGATTTATGAGAGATGGGAAAATAAATGGGAAAGGGAGTTCAAAACATGAATGTGCAGGTAAAGAAGAAAGACATTTCCACTCCATAAAGCCCTGAGCATTATGCCAACAGTTGAGAGCTTTGTTAAAGTGCCCATCTGCACGCATTTTGTTGAGGCCCAGGAGGGGGCCACTCTGTTCACAGCTTTGCTACCTGTTCGTCTGTCTCCTCACCAGTTTGATCCTGAGGCTTGTGCTCCCATCATCTATAGCCCTCATGGGGATCCAGCCCCAGGCTGCAGCCAAGTCCACACTGATCTGGAGAGGCTTCCAGCCAGCTGGTTTACCCTGCTGGTCCTCAACCTGAGGCAAGCCTGTGGCTTTGGGTCTTTGGCTGGTGTCGGTCAAAAACCTACAGAACAATGAGGATGTTGTGGAGCAGCAAAGGGATGCTGCTGTTTGATTTTCATATTAGCAGTACTAATTTGATTCCCTTGCACTGTTTTCCCAGATGTTGTACTGTGGGTAAGAAGAGCACTAGCGGCACCAGAAACCAGCCCCAAGTCACAAAGCCAAGAACCTTGATTGTGGCACTAAAACCAGTACAAATGTGAACCCTGATACTGGAACAATCAGTCTGAGCATATGGAGCTGGGAGAGTTTGAGGATGTTTAGGTGTATCTTACCAGCTCTGAGCCATGGCTCACTCGTTCTGTTTGTGTTCCATGATGTTTCCCCTCCTGCTGCACAGGAGTAAACAAATTCAGGGAAGATTGTTTCAGAAAACCGGGAGCAGGTGGGTGGCCTGAAGGATCCTTCAGTGCTCTATGCAGTGCTACTTAGAGCACCTGACATCTGAGGTTTGCTCTGCAGACACTCCACATCTCTGTGTGGTAGCTGTCACACCAGCTTACATCTCTTAGATGCGGCAAGTCCTAGTATTTTCCAGGCAGATGGGACTCTGTCTTACAGCAGTTTTCTGTGATTCCTACTGCATTGCAAATGATCTGCTCACCTCTTCTAGTTCAGTCTGGTGTTTCCAATGCATTCTCTTTAAGGCCCAATAAAGAAGAAAAAGTGGTTGTTCTGGTTCCTGGAGGCACTGAAGATCCCACTGAGAACTACTGGCCTCTCCAAATGCTTCTGCTCAGTGTATGCTGTTCCACTCAACAGATTTTCCATGGAAAGCAATCTGCAGAGCCCACTTTGCAGAGGGACTGTATCATAATGCAGATGGCATGTGATTCAGTCACAGTCTGTGAGTCCCCACATGCACAGAAAATTTACCACAATGCAGCTACCAGGGAAATTTCTGCAGAGCCTCCTAAAATCCTCAAAGGCCCTTTGCATCCATCCTGATGCCTCTGCTCTAGAAACTCACAGGCTGTACAGTACCTACTGACCTCGCAGTGCTGACTGCATCCTCTCCATGACAACACACTGCAATGCTCAGGGAGAGGAAGGCATCCTGCAAGCAGCAAGGCTGGCTGGGGAGTATAACTATGTAGATGATGATGTTACCATCAGTCTTTTCTGTTGGGGGCATAAATGCAAAGGAATGAAGTGTCTTCTAAGAAGAAAGAAACTGATGAACAGAAGAGATAAGAAAGAAATGGCACTCAGAGATTTGAACAATCTTTGGGCTCTGCTGCAGCAGCCAAGGGCATCTGGAGCTCCTGGTTCTGCTCTTGTTGTTTGACTGTGAGCTGGTGCTAGGATTTTCCCCCATGCTAGGCTCAGCAGGATGAGCTGCAAGAGAGGTATTTAGCTCAAGGAACCCAGGGTGAAGGCAGCATGTTTCAGCTGAAGCTTGTATCAATCCAACTTTCTTTATTTTTCTCTTAAGGAACTGCCAGGAGTGGGCAGAGGCCCAGAACGTGCCCACAGCTCAGCACACTGTGGGAAAGCAGAAAGCTGGCTGTGAGCTCCTCACCAGGGTGAAGGCTAAGCACAGCTCTATCTGTATGCAGCCATTTTGATACAGGCACCAGACTATTGGGTTGGGTCATTCTTGGTCAAGTCAGTTCCTCAAAGGCAAGTATGGGGTGACAACTACCGCGTTGTTATGCGTGGGATGAGGTGACACTGTGGCCAAAGGAAATTGAGGCTACAGCTAGCTCAAGGAGGGCAGGATCCTTTTAAAAGGGAAGGGACAGATTAAAGGGAATTCATAATAAATATAACATAAACAGTGGTGACATGGGAAAAGACACATTGTGAGCAGAAAGAGAGGACTGGCAGCTGTGTGGGAGAATTAAACCTCCTCCTACATGGGTAGATAGTAACAGGATAAGGGGGATGGTTTTAAACTGAAGGGGGGGAAATTTATATTAGATATCAGGGGTATGTTTTTCACTGAGAAGGTGGTGAGGCTGCCCAGAGAGTTTGTGAATGCCCTATTCCTGGAGGTGTTCAAGGCCAGGATGGTTGGGATAGTCTGATCTATTGTCTGAGGTCTAGTGGTTAGCAACTGTGCTGGCTGCAGGGGGTTGGCAATAGATGATCTTTGAGGTCCTTTCCAACCCAAGTCACTCTATGTTACGATTACACGTAAGATCTGATCAAAACTCTCCCTCTGCTTTCACTTGCGTGCAGAACTGTAAGTATCATGAGGGGTTTGGGCCTCAGCCTTCTATGGTTTGTACAGTTCCAGGGTGCGGTCATAACCTCACAGATTGGGTGCACCTGAACAACCCACGGCACTTCTGTGGGCACACTCCCCAGGCACCAGGGGTACAATGGGCAGGGAGGATCTGGGCGTAGAAGCTTTCTTCATCCCTCTCTAGGCCAAGTCTGCAAGATTAGCAAGTTATTCAGGACAGACCAAGGAAAGGCAATTACAAGCCTTTTTCTATACAGCAGATAGAAGACAGGATCAATACACAGAGGGACTTCTGATTTCTGACATGTCTAAGCCCTCAGACAGCTCTGGTTTTTGCACCAGATGGCTCCATCGCTCGATAAAGTAGTGCCCTAGATATGCTGGTTGTTTTCCAGCCCGCCAGCAAATGAAGGCAGGAGGATGGACACGTACAGCCATATCCTGTGCTGTTACCACAGCTTCTGAGGTCTCCAGACCTATTGCAAATCGCTGCATTTTTGCAGTCCCCTCCCCAGCAGCAGCTACCAAAGGGATTAAACAGGGAGTTTTATCTAGTGCAGTGGCTTAATCACTAAGCAAAGGGCTCATCCTCAGACCACAAGGTCAAGGAATTATCCCTGACAGATAACGCAGCCAGGGCTTGGAACAGCGTGAGGCTAGATTGCCATTGTCAGCCTATAGGTTTATTGCCATTTCTGGGAGAGTAATGCCGCTAAGATGTTGTGAAGGTGCAGTGTGGCTTCCTTCACCTGCCCTCAGATGCCTTTTGATAACAGGGGAGGAGGAAAGCAGATAAAAATGGCACCCAACCTTGTCCCTGTGCCTTAAAATAAAAAAACACAAACAAAGAAAAAAAAAAAAACAACAGCAAATCTCAGAGGGCAAAAGGCTTTGGAAGCTGGGTGCATTTGTCACAGAGCACTACATAGAGAACATAATATAGCAGGATCTTCCAAATGGCTGTGAAGAACTAATCAAATACTAAGCCTGAAGAGAAGCGACTCAGCTTACCTGCAGGGAAGCACATGTCTAGAAATATGATTTCAGAGTTCTCTGCACAAGCTTCAGGAGAAGGTGAGATGTCCCACTCCCCTTAGTGCAGTTTGTTGTGGCAGAGCTCAGCAAGCACAAGAGCAGCCCGCTGGGTTCCAAGGGGTAGCTGAGGGCACTGGTGAGTAAGTCTCCAGCAGATACTGAAATGTAAGGAGTCCAGGTCTGCTGCCACCAGAAAAGAGCAAGAGGAACTCCTCCCACAGTGAGCTACAAAACTGTGTTTTGCTGAGAACGCAGTGCATGTTCTCAGAATTTACCTGAAACCACTTCCTTGTGCAAGTCCAGGTAGTCCACCTGGAGGTGTTCCTCTCCTTGTTCTTCACACCATGAGGGTGAGTTCTCAGTCTCTCTTCACATAGCACTTCATTTTTTTGAGAAGCAAGCTACGTTTTCTCAGAAAGCCAGAAAACATCCATGAAGGAGCACTAGGCAAGTTGTGTTTAACTCTCTTCATGGCCACCACAGCCTCACGCTGGCTGGATCAAGCCCTTGCTGCCTTTGTAGGACTGAGTCACTTTAGCTGCATGTTTACCAGGTGTCCACCATCCCAGCCTCCTCCTGTGGCCTCAGGAGGCTGCAGCAGTGAAGGACAGCAGGCAGAAGCATGCCTCCTTCAAGGAAACCTGCCTCTCAAGTTTCTCCTGCAGGAGGCAAAGGAAACAAGAAGTGTGGATCATAGAGCACTAATAACACTTAAGATTTTTCACTTGATTGCCATTCCTCAGCTCCTTTCCTTTTCCACCTGCATTTCTCTGCATCTGTGGGGAAATCTGACATTACATATATAGATAAATTGTTCTTATTTAAGACAAAAGATTCTCTCCCTCCATGAAGTGACCCTCAACAACAGAGACAAGGTTAACCTGCATTCAAGAGCCATCTGACTTGCAGCCCACTGGAAACTCTCTCTCCTCTGTGCCGCTCCCACGGCTGTGGTCCCTGCAGCTGCCATATATGAGGCCTCTGAGTCACCTCTTCATAGCAAAAGACTGGGCAACCCCATCCCAACTGCCTCTTCCCCACAAGCAGAGCTCCTGCAATTCGCACTGCACTAACATAGGGCTCACCAGGCTCCCCCCAGGGGCTCTGCACCTCCCAGATCCCCACACCCTGTTAACTCATTGGCCCTGCTTCGCTAATGTAGGTGGGCAAATGACCCCAAAGCAGCAGAGATCCCATTCCTCAGCCCTTCCAGCCACAGATTAGAGTAACACTGAGTAGGTGAAATGTACTTGCCTGTGACAGACAGCAGGAGAGATTAGATGCCACAGCGCTCTGTCCTAACTTTAAGCTTTCTGATAAATCTCTGAAGATTAAGGAGAGATGAGATTCCATAATATAAAATCTGATTTGACTTTAGCTCAGCTAAAGACGAGCACCCGCTCCTTCACAGCCCTTCTGCGCACCTCACCTTCCTGCACACACAGCACTGAGAGGGGAGCTAAGGTCATGGTCCTGAGCAAGAGGCCATTCCTCCATGCTGCCTCCTGCACCTACAAGGCACACACCTGAACCGACTCTGTCCCATAGGCTCCAGCTGGCCCTGCACTGCCAGACAGCAGGAGATGGGCCCCTGCATCTACAGGACATGCTCAAAGCTGGGCATGAAGAAGGCTGCAGAATAGTTCCTGGAGGTTGGCATCCCAGGGTGCTCCCTGAACACTTGTACACATTTTCTGCATGAAACACTCAAGTCCGGAAGACTCTGTGTTAGTTGAATGAGTAACATTTTCTAGACAGAAATTCAGTACTATTTAAAAAACGCTTGAACAGCCACAGCTCCCTACAGGCCATGTCTTACCTCCCATGCACCTCTCAGCGGGGTGGACCTCCTCTCTGCCTTGCAGTGCCATGGCCCAGCCACACAGCACAGTGGGCCAGGGGGAAGTCAATCCCAACCTCACATGAATATCCTCCATTAGCCACATTAGAACAGCAGCTAAGTCGAGGGAATGGGCAAGCACAACAAAGGGCGGATCCAGCACCAGTATTATTACCCCCTCTCACACACTTGAGTCCCACATTGCTTCTTAATCTTCAAAACTTTGTGAATGTTTTTGCTCTGTTCTGATGCTCGCAAAGATGCTCTGAAGTAGTTGTAAAGCAAGGAAAGCCACCTGACATCCCTCTGTCTCTCCTAACCCTCCTATGTACTCTGGGATGACATCCCAGGCTGGCCCAGGCCATGAGACACCAAAGCAGACTCACTCCGGTGGCTCACATTCCCTTCACATCCTCACAGTGGGAGAAGCTTCCCATGAACAAGAGCTCAAGCAAGCTTGGCAACAGCAAACAGATACTGAGCACCATCCCCTCATTTATGGATATTTATTCACTTTTTCCTCACGTAAACAATGTTTTTGCTAACCTGGCATCCTTCAAGTAGAGACCAAGACCCTGTACAGCAAAGGCTAGAATACTCTCTCCAAACCAAACCATCTTTCACTTGCTGCAGACTGGCTTCAACTTTGAATGCAGCATATCCTGCAACTCCTCCTCACCCAAGCCTGGCACATCAGAGAAACGCACTTATTTTGCTCATCTACGGTACCTTCGAATGGCTGGGAATTTTTTGTCCTCATTTTGAAGCCCACGTTCCCCCTACATAGGGAACAAAGCCAGCTCTGCTTGCATAGAGAGCCTACATTGTTTTCCTTAATCTAAAATAAGTTCCACATTAAAGCCCACCTGCTTTGCGTTTGTGCGCATTGAGCAATGACAAGAGAAATTCAGCAGAGTGGAGAGGAGGAAGCTGGGGACCAGATTCATTGCTTTTTTTGTCTGCAAGTATGACAGCTGCAGACACAGGAGGACCTGGCCATCTCACCAGTGTCAAGAAGGTCAGGCAGGGGCAACCAATGCTGGGCTCATATCACCCACCCAACTGGGCCACACTAGCACTGCCTTGCCACCTGACCTGCAGCACAAGTAGGAGAGAGGGGAAGGGGACTGTAGTTTTGGACCCCTCTTATCCAAGTACAGGGGGCTGAATGCCAGCTGGGCCTGTATTTGGTTTTGCTCACTGATAAAGAGGACAACTGTGTTTTGCATACTGAGATGTGTGTACTTTTTTTTTTTTTTATAAACACACTGACACACTATCAGGAGTGTTTCAATTTTTAGGCTCTTCTGCTGCACCCCAACCTCTCTATCCTGTTTCTGGAGAAGCTTCTTTACCTGCGGGAAGCAGCTTCGCTGTGCCTCTGAGAGAATGGAGAAAGGAAAGGGGGAATTAAAGCAGTTCCCAAGTGAATTGCAATCTCTCATCTTTTGCAGTCTTTGCAGTAAGCCTACTCAGCTAGCTTGCTGCAGGAGTTGCAGCATTCCCACCTCCTTGCTGCATGGTTTTAACTTCTCACAGCCTCATGTTACCAACCTACCTGTGCACCTCTGTCAGCAGGGACTTCGTGCACTTGTGAGTCCCATCAAAGTTTGAGCTCTACCACCCGTGCTATGCACTGCTCCTGGCCATACTTCAGAGTAAAAGCTTGCATAAAGCAGAACCCTTTCCTCTCATGCCAGGGGAGTGGGGGCTGGTGGCTCCTTCAGGCAGGCACTGACGTAGGAGTGAAGTGAGAGCTCTCCTGCCCACAGCACTAACAGAAAAATAACAATAAAAAAATCCAATAGGAGCAGCAGTCCTGGGAAAAGACCCATCCCTGTACCCTTGGATGGTTTGAGGCAGAGTGCAGCCAAGAGGAACTCAAGACTAAGCAGAATTTTACTTATTATTTTAAGCAACGCAAAGCTTGCACTTCTCATAATGCAGCAAAAGAAGAACCCATGACCTCACTTGTTCTATTTATTACAACACCTCTGAAATGGAAAAAGGTGCCTTTGCTACCTCCACAAAATGGCTTTTGTCTTTTTTGTTCATCTCAAGTAGCAAACCTGCCAAGACTGAAAAAGAGATGCCAGTCCCAGCACTGTAGCACCTCCTGTACTCAATGCTGGTGGAAAGAGGAGCAGAAAGGACTCACAGACTTGTCTGAATCCTCAGCTGGATCTTTCCTCATTCCGGCTTTACAGTTAAGCCTACAGTAAGAAGGAAAGGAGTTACTTAATATAGGAAACATTATCTGGGTGGGCAGAAAGGCACTGAGGCTCTGAGTGAGCAGACAGGCAGAAGAGCCCAGAGGTGCAGGCAGCAGAACAGCACAGCCCCATCATGAGGGAAAGGCCACCTCTGACCATCATGGCCACGCTGCAGTGTCTGACCACAGCCAGTCCCCCTGCACCACCATTCCTCCCACCCATACAGTCGCTTCTCCTTGCGAGGCACAGCATGAGCCACCCTCTGTCCATTCACTTGCCACGGGAAGCACCTGAATGAAAAAGCAATCAAAACAGACATTTTAGTGAAAACCTGTTATCCTTCCTCCAAAGAATCAATACCAAGCTGAAAGCCGGCCCACCATCTTGATATAAAAATCCATGCTCCAGAGCTGAGGATCACTACCGCCAGCATCCCTCATACTTTATGCACAGCAGCTCTAACACCAGTGACATTTCACCCTCTGTTATTGACTTCCGACCCTGAAGGCAGTTTCCATTTCTCATCTGCTTTCTCTGCTTTCAAAGCAGCAAACACCGATGGCGATGGCGGGGCGGTGCTGCCTTCTTTTCTCTGCCATTTACTTCTAGGCAATAGCAAAGCCCTGAGGCAGCGAGTACCAGAGGAGCTCCAAAACTCCTGTCCACAAAGCAAACAACACTTCCACACCAAGCAGTGAAACAGCCTGGAGGCTTCCTGCTGCTCACATGGAGGACTAAATTAACCCTTAGCACAGCCTGAGCAAGAGCCACTGCTCTTGTTGTGTACAAGTAGGTAAGAAGACACAGACACTACGGCTGGCAGTGTCCACACATTAACACTGTTTTAACAGAGCTCTAAAAGGGTCAACTGGGAAAGTCTTCAGAGAGAAGAGAGGTTCCTAGGTGAGAAAACTCTGCCAGGGTACTTATGAGGTCAGGGCTAACAGGGCTATTGTCTGCAGCAATGAACAGCTGATAGAAAAAACTTTGCCACAGGTAGCTGAGGGCATGGCTTGGTTCCACCTGTTTACCTGAAGCCAGCAAGCTGCATGAGATTTCTGATTTAGATTTGATATATCCTGGATTTAGCATTATTTCCATTTTAAAGTGCAGAGGCTCAACCCAGTAAATAAAGTGGAAGCGGGTGGCAAGGGTGAAAGCATTTTGCACACTGTCCTTCAAGAGATGATGCTCAGCTCATACAGCAACCCAGTGAAGCACAGCAAGTACCCTGGCAGTAAATGAGCACGTCACAGCAATTTGTCTCTACTCCTGCAGAGGCAATTTAACTTCATTTCAGTAACAGTGTGACAAGAACACATAGGAATTCACTCTGGTATCCGTGTAACTTTTATTTACTTATTGCTGTCAATATGCAGTAAAGGAAGATCAGATGTGACTTACCTCCTGAGTACAATACTTCTGTAAATTATGATATTGTGGCATCTGATTGTAATAGATCAAAGTGTTGCATTCACAAGCCACCAAGTGGTTTTTTTAACTGCCTTGATTACAGGTACACATTCTGGCTGTACTTTTCACTGCATCTTCCAGTATTACATGATAAAAAAAATTGCAACTGGAAAATAGCCTGAGAGTTTGATAGGACAATGCAAAGGGGAAAACCAGCTCTGCTTTTGTTTCTTAACTCTTCAACCTTCTGGGAACCAGAATTAATTTCTGGCCTTCTAGCATGCAAGCTGGAATAGGAAAAGCACAAAAAGGCCAGGTATGCTAAGGAGGGATGTAAATTTTATTCTCCTGTCCCATTACCTGTCACTGTAAAACTAGCAGCCCTCTGTGATGAGCCCTCTGGCTTTTTAAAGCATCCCATTATCTAGCAGGAGGACAGTGGTCAATAAGTGGCTGAAATGGAGAGACCATGCCTTCAGTGCTTATCCTCTGGTCACACAGTCCCCTCTAGAAGCTCTCAGCATATCACACTTTGCACCCTCCACCAGCATCAGTGCCATTCCCATGAATGACAACAGGACAAGGTCCCTTCCCTATCTCATCCCTAAGTTCACCCTAGAAGCAGCACGGGATTGGAAGGGAATGACTTTGGTGCCCAGAAACAAAGCCTGAATATGCAAACAGCCACCCCAGTCACTTGACAAAAAGGGCACATGTAATACCCAGGGGTACAGACCTAAGAGCCCCAGTACTCTGGCAGCTAAGCCCTAAGCAAGCTCTGCTTTTAGCATCATCACCTTTGTATGTTTTACATCTCTGTTTTCTGACTTATATCACAGGGATGAAGTATCACTGAGCGTGCTTGCCATGTGCTCTGTAAGCACTAAGCAGTGCAGTTACTATAGTGTGGATAATTATTAGCCAGCTGCTTTTATAAAGGAGAGATTTGTACAACAAAGCCATTCCTCTCATGTAAAACACAAGGTAACCAACTCCAACCTAAATACTTCACTGTGACAACCTCATGGTGAACAATGAGGAGAGACCAGAGGCCAGCCAGGAGCCCACTTCTAATTAAGCTGTACACAGGACCTCTCCCATTCCAGTCTTGGCTTGCTGGAGGTCCAGGCTAGACCATGATAGCTTGGGCTGCAATTAAAAGGACTGGCAGAGAGGTAAGGGCTATTTGCTGCAGTACACATTGAAGCGGATCTCCCCAACTCCTCAGCCCTAACCTCTTGCTGCTGACAACATTTAACTTGCAAAATGGTAGTAGGTGTCATTGCTGAACAGTTCTCACTCCACTCACCTGTCCTTAAGCTTGTTTTCCTGAGGTGATGAGGAAACCATCAGAGTCAAGGCTACTCCACACTGAACTTGCCTACCATTTTCTGCACAGACCTTTTCTCCTCCTCCTGACAGCAGCATAGTCAGCTGTCTTGATGAAAAAGTGTCCCCAGGATGTTCTGCCTACAGTCAGCACAGCATAGCCTTCCCTCCACCTTGCACTGATGCTACTGAGTTTTCTAGGAGATCTTTGCATGTGATGCTTTTGGAGGCAAATTGTAGAACAGCTTAGGTTGGAAGAGTTCTTAAAGATCATGTAGTTCCATCTCCCCTGCCATGGGGAGAATCCTCAGGTTGGCTTCACCTCGCGCTGTAATCTCTCTACTTAAAATCTTGCTGCAGCATAAGATCGCCTTGTATTTGATGCTATGCTCTACACTGAGGAGGCAGTTTCCTAGAGGACGTTAGGTAGAACAGGTTAAATTGTGCCAGCTGGGGGTGGCTACACTGAGCGTAGTTGGGTGGCTGAGTGTAGCTGGGTGGCTGAGGAAGGATTTCTCAGAAGCACCTGTTTTTAGCAGGCAGACTAGGCAGCAAAGAAGAGGCACTTCCTAATCTAAGGCCAGTGTTTCACGTTAACACCAGCTGCAGTATCTTGGCAAAACATGGCTTAACGTAAGCAGCTGAAGCAAAAAGGCATGACCCAGAGTCATCAGCAGGGAAGGTCTGCCAGACCACAGAGAGCATCCAAACCAAAGCAGAGACACTACTTGAGGGAACTGCCTACACACAACTTCCCACCATCTTCCTCACCAAAGGACGCAACTCCCTTTTGAACCCTAATGCCTGACTGCTTAGTGTTTGCAGAGCTGAATGGCAAGTTGAGATTAGAAGTCCCCTCTCAACAAGAGTCACTTTTCATCCCCTGATGATGAATCTTTGTGTGATCTCATGATTTGATAGAGTGTCTCACGGAAGTGCTGGTGACGGCTCAGTCTTTTGGCTGCCTCTTTCAGCTCCTCGATGTTTTCAGCTTCTGCATGTGAGATGATGAAGGACTGGGACTGCTTCACTGAAACAAGAGCAGCACAAAAAGGTCGGCACATTCAGTCAAGGGGACAAATCAAGGAAAGCCAAGAGAGCCATGCAATCATCACGACCAAGAGCCCTAGCCAAGGGTGAACTAACCATTGCACCAACAGCTTCACCTTAATGTTTTCAGGGAAGGAAAATGCTGACAGCATTTTTCTGCTTTGTAAGTCCTTTGCTTTACCTCTTTCCAATGTTACGGTGCTGTAAAAATGGATTTGACCTCAAAGACAGCCATTTTGAGTACTGGACTAGGCAAGACATTATGCAGATGTCCCTTTCAACCCAGCTCCATGTGAATGCTTAATCACAAAGGAAGTCAGCTTTGAGCATATTTTTTTGTAGAGACTAGGAGGCATCCCAGCAGTTACTGCATACTTTTCCACATACACAAAGAGACAGGTAACTGCACAGATCTGCTGCCTGCTCTTCAGATAGCAAAACCCCAGGTTAGCCTATAGTTCCATGGTACTGCTAAGAACTATGCATTGTGAACCACACTTGCAGATCTTACTGCTCTTTCAGCCTCATCTGCATGCATCTGCTCCTGCAGGGCACAGAGGAAGAAGCTGCCCACTACCTACAGTCATTCCATGAAGCGCTGGCTCTCCGGCGGTGAAGGCGGCAGCTCTTTATGCGACGAGTGGCAGCTTTGTGGATGTACACAGAGTTCTTCATGATCACAGGCATCTTGGCCTCCAGCTCGGCATTGCGGATGCACTCTTCGAAGAACTCTGAAGAGAATACACCACTATGAGCAGTGATGGGAAAGACACTGCAAGCAGTGAACCTGCCAGAAGGGACTACACTCAGTGAGTCGGGGGATGATGTTCAGTACTTCCTTAGATCTTCACAAACAACATTTTGTTAAGCACCAAGACATCATCAAATTCAGAATGACAGAAACCTCTGGTGCCATACTCAAACTAGAGAAAGAGTAGCAATCATCCATTCTCCTTTTGTCTTTCCCACATCTGCTAATGATGTAACTGCAGAAAGGCAGCTTACTCTCTTTGATATTATCATACAACTTCTCAACTCTGTCATCACAGAGGGCTCTGAAGCCTCGTTGGGCATACTTTCCTTGAAGAAATACCAGAACCAGTTAAGTCTTAAACTGCAGAAAGGGAGGAGCTGGCAACACTGTCATGGACACATCCAGATGTGCCATGAACACACAGGGATTTCTAATAGCGCAGCAAATATTAGCGGTGGAGGGCTGCAGCAATCACCTAGGAGGACTGAGCAATGTGTGCTATGCCACAGCTTCCCTGTTTGACTCTTTGGGGAGCCTTTACACTTCTCTCTGCCTGTAGGTTTGTCTTCTACTACATAGGGAAGTATGGAGCAATACTGTACTCCTTTGAGGGTGAAGCATCAAGTGATGCACAACATACTGTGACTCCTCCAAAGGATGGTGAGGTTAAGATACAAAGAGTTGGGAGAGCACTCCAGGTGCAGCCTTACTAATTTGGGAACCACTTTTTGAGTCTGGGAAGATGGGAAGAAATATTTCCTCCTGGGGATCACTCATCAGTAGAGAAGGTGGATGACAGACTTACTTCTCAGATTACTGACATCTGCTTTCATCTTCTCCTCCCTCTCCTTGTTACGATCCAAAGAATTTAAGCCTTGCTCCAAGCTCTGCAATGCTTCCTCAGCTTCCCTCAGTCTCTTTTCCAGTTCCATGCGCACCTTCACCTCAGCCTGAGGAAGACGAAAAGAACAAATGCTCCTGAAAACAGCTTGTGTATCAGTAAGCCTCCTGCAACTCAACAGGTTTGCAAGAGACCCAATGAAAGATTAACAGTCAGGAAAACCAATAGAAATAAGACAAAATTTGTTTATTGGATCTTCAGACAGAACTAAAAGTACAGATATTTCAGCAATTCTCTATTCTGACTTCCCTTTTCACAGCTGCCCTCTCATCTTATGAACAACACGAAGTCAAACAGTACTCCAGCACCTGAATTCATACTTATGGAAGAATTTGAACAAGAACAGGACATCCTTCCATCCTAAATAGACTTGAAACAAAGGCAGTCAGTTCCCACAAAGGGGTGGACAGTTATTATTTTCAGAAACAAATACAGTAAAAATTAGGAAAAAAAGGGGTGAAGTGGTACAAGCATACAAGCATACAAACATACAAACAAACATAACTCATACAAACTTAGGTCAACTTAGCTTTAGTATGGCCAGCTGGAATGTTAAAGGATAAAAACTTCTTAGAAATGCAGGAAAAAGATGAGACGGGGGACACTTTTGGACAAAATATTTGGAGAAGGGTTTTGAGTGTCAAACAGCCAGTAACTACTTACACTTTTCTTAGTTTAAAATAAAACAACGTGACTTTGTCCAATTGTCTTTGTCTAGATTACTGTTTCTCTCATGACTGGGACAATTTCTATACTAGCATTTGAAGTAACCTTCATTGTTGACTGCATCTACTGTCCTGTATTATTGCCCCACTTTCATCTTTAGATGATGCTTTCACATGAACAAAGGGAAATAATTGTTACTGAATAGGTTAATCAGCGTCAGAATGAGAAAATAAATAATAGTGCTACACAGATACAGTGTGGCATCCTCATGTGTAACTGTGATATGAAGCATAGCAAACTGAGTTTTTACCACAGAATAAGAACAAATCTCTCTTTTGATGGGAGATGATATGAAAGAGAAGGAAGTCAGGGCCCAGGGATAGCAATGCATGATGCATATAGTCAGTACCTTGAGGTCTCTCTCTGTCTGCTGCTTCTCCGCAGTCAGCTCTGAGAGTGAGTTCTGCAGCGCTTGCGACTGGGAAGAGTAAAACTCTCGCTCCGCCTCCAGGGCTCGGGACCGCTCCTCATTCTCCTTCATCCTGGAGCATGAAAGAGAGAAAGAATCCCACCATCCCACCCAATATGACTCACACAGAGGAAGGGCCTAGGTATTGAGTAGGGGTATGTGTAACTACCAGGCTGCCGTGAGCAAAGAGGTGCTAAAGGCAGCATTATCTGCATTTTCCCTTCAGTAGTGCAGGCATGGCTGGAAAAAGCCATGTGGGCAGTTCCTCAACCTTGCTTTGTGTTGGCAACCTAAAAGAAAGGCAGCAGACAGCCACAGCATGAGGCACCACAAATCCTGATCGTGGTTAGATCTGTCCTCTTCTCTCTACCACATCCAGAAGTTGAAAGTAGGGATTTCACCTTCTTTTAGGCCCTAGGGTAAACATGGGAAGAGTTTTGAGGGGACCCTAGCTTTCTGGTTTCCCTTTCTGATTGCCTCCCATCTGTGAGGAGAAAAAAAACTACCTTTTTTCCCACTAGAAAGCATCTCAATTTACATCCCTGTCACCACTGTAAGAGCCTTTGTCCCCATTTCACCTCTTCTCTGCCAGAAGTTTCTCTTCCAGGAGTTGCTGCATCTTCTCTTCAATCTGCTGCAGGCTGCAGTGCAACCCCCAGCTGGGGCTTTGCTCCTCGCTAGGACTGGCTGAAGTTGGGCTCTCATTTGTTTCCAACATCTCCAACATTTGCTGCTTTTCCATGGAAAGCTCCTTGAAGAAGGACAGAAGCTGTGAGCGTCAACCAGGTCTTATATTTCTGCTCCTTTTTCTGTCTGGCTCCTCATTATTGAGTTCTTCCATCTTTACACCCACGTTCCTCATTCAGGTTAAAAACAGGTAATACAAGGCAATAGGATGTACCATGCTGCAAAGTGTTTGGTCTGTTGTATAGCTGAAGTACAAACGCTCCTTCCCTAACCATTCAGATCTTTTTCTCCTACCCATAACTGTGGTTAGGAGAAGATTTCAGGAGGAACATCCTGAAATCCTGTCCAGATTTTGGATATCAGCAATTGATTTTTGGACTAATTCGTAGGATTAAAGTTGGTTGCCTTCAGCAAGCTAGCTAGGCTGAAATTTCACAAAAACTATATGCATTTAGAAAAGTCATTCTTTTCCTCTCCATCAGAACAACACCAAGTAAATAAAAGAGTTTAACACATCAGCACTCCATTTCCTAAATTCTTGTATGGTATACAGTTCTCTGGGAACAATGCTTCAGCCTGTGAGCAAAGATACCTCTCTGCTGCTCTAATTTCTACCAGGGCTTATGGAGCTACTGTTCAAAAATCAAATAGCTATGTGGTTTGCTGGGTTCTTTGCCACTTCTAATCCTTTTCTGAAGACAATTTTGGCCTTCATATCAGCTACTGAAAGAATCAGTTCATCTGCCCAGGGCTGACTTTGACATTAACAGATTAGGTTCATGCTACAGGACAGCAGTGCATTCAGTCCTGGTAACTCCTCACAGACTGCTGCCATTCAGAAGCAACAAGTGGTCACTCACCTCCAGGTTTTTCTGTAAGGACTGAGTCAGGCTTCGCAACTCTTTCTTTTCTTGCTCCACTCCATTAAGGGAGCGGGCTGTGAGCTCTAGCTCCCTAAAGAAGGAAAAATGGTGATAGCTATGGTAGGGGAATGCTAGCCCCACAAACCACATTCAGACTGCACAGGCTGTGGACTTCAGTTGCAGGACCTGCTACTGGTGGTTGGCGCAGGCAGTCCTCGAGAAGCAGGAATTCCAGGCAGGAGTGTGCCAGAAAGCACCACACCTTGGACAAACTACAGGCATCCAGAAAATGAGCTGTGCCTCCCGGTGGAGCAAAAACCATCCCCTACGAGCTTCGCTTGTGAGGGCAGGACCATGATTACAGCTCGCAGAGCACAGACAGCAGGCATGAGTAAACAGGCGTATATCTATAACAAAAAAGGCTTATAAAAACCACTCCAGCTTTTCTGAGATGTTGTTTTGGGAGAAAAAGAAAAGAAAAAGAAAAATGCCATTTCAACACTCAGAATTTGCCCTTAGCTCTTAGCTAGGGCCCTTAGATCTTTCCCCTTCTATAGACATTTCTTGCTAATATTCTGCACAGTGTTGCTCTCAAAAAGACAAAATTATTCTTAGTGAGGCAACTTCAACCTCCACCCATTCATCCATGTGTGCAAAATCTGGCTGAGATGTCTGGAGCCCATGGGGCTGGTGCGAATAAAACTGGTCTTGTCATTGAAATCCTCTGACATCTGCCTGTTGCTATACAGCCTCAATTAACCCAGGGTTTGCTTATGTCTCAGCTTCTCGAAAATGAGGTTGCTGGAGTCTTGAACAGCAAATGAAACTAGGATGCATACTATTGGTCAATCAACAGCATCAAATGCAAGACATCAGCCATTCCTGTTTTGGTCAATACTGCATTTATCTCCTTCATATATAGGCAAAACCAATGAGTTTTACCCATTGCTTTGATCCCCAACCTCACCAGCACTCCCAGCAAGTGAGGAGTTGGTGTCCTTCTCCTGCGTGCCCAGCTCAAGCCCTCACCGCCTGATCTGCTCCTGCTCCAGCCGCAGCTCCCGTACCACCTCTTCAAACCGCTGCTTCTCTGCCTCCAGCACCTGGTTCAGACGTTCCAATTCCTGCACCAAGAGAAGAGGCAGGAGAGCACTCCACACTATTTCCAGCCTCCCAGCCCCACCCCAAGGGAGCTGAATGGAATTGGCTTGTGAGGAACACCCACCTCTTTCTGCTCCCTCTGCAGACACAACTCTTCTGTTTCTTCCATCAGTTTATCTGCAAACATATGCACGCATAGAGGCCAAATTGCAATTTGGCAAATGCAATTTGCAATTTCTATCCCAGGGATGTTTATGTGTGAGAAGTACTGACTGTTGGGAACTTGTATATGCATTACCTATTGCTCTGTGCTTATCTTTCTGAGAGACTCCAAAGGCTGAGATTACACTAATGGGATGTTCTATAATTTTCCTCCTGTCAAATAACTTAATAAACTCAACAATCTTACTGCTGTGTACTCCTTCCAAAAGCTCCTTCCAAGGTTTTTTAAAACCTTAATGAAAACATTAATGAACTAACCTCTGCCAGTCTCTAGCTGACTTAAGAAAACAACCTCCTTTCTGCTTCACACACAAGGAAGCTAAGGCATGGAAGGGCTAAGCAACACACAGAGTCGCTCACAGCACAGTAGCAGGCTGTTCTCATACATTCCAGTGCCCCATCCTTACCCTCCCAGCACCCTCTGCATTAACCTCTCCAGGCTCAAGTGGGAGAAGGTCTCCCAGCTTCCCTCGAGTCAAGAAAGGGCTCTAAAACATACTACAAGATTTGAATTATGGGGAAAACCATTGCCCATGCAATCAAAGATTTCAGTTTACTAAACCTGCCTAGATGCTCTAGATCTTTAGTAAAATCAGTGGAATAACTTTACCTAGAAAGGCAAAGGTCTATAGGGACCTTCATAAAGCATATAAAGTTGACATCTATGGATGGTTTACCTTGCTACCAGTTTTCTTGGTATCAGAGAGGACATCCTGGTATCCTGGCAGGATTACAACTGCTGGGAGATACACAGACCTCTACTGCCTTCCCATAGCAGTGCTCCTCATGCCAACACTAACCTTTATGCTGCGAAAGCCCTGCTGGCAGTCACTGCTGCCTTTCTGCTCACTTCCATCCTCTTTCTGCTTGCCAGGAGTCCACACAGCTGAATTAGAGATACACAGAGACTGTCACACTCTTTTAAACTCTCCTTGGTGAGGCCAAGTCCAAGGCTTGAGGGGCTTCAGCAACAACCCTGACTGAAAGGGAAACCCGGATCCCAAGTGGATAAGGGTATATGGAAGGGAACCCAAGGGGACTCGGAATTCTCCAGAGCAGGGATGAAGGACAATATCTGTGTTCTCCAAAGAGCATTGACCTGCTGCCAGCAGCAGTGCCTGACCTCAAAACTTAACTACAGGATGGACACAGACCACTGAAGATGAGGCTAATGAGGCAGAAAACTCAGCACTCAAATAGGAGTAAACGTACAGCTGCCCTCAAAGGAAAGTAACTGTGAAAAATCACCAGCTAAGAATAATCTTGTCATCACAGACCAAATAAACCAGTGAAGTATGTATTTTGCACTTCAAATATCTTGCTTTGTACAGGATGTGTTTTCAATTGCTGCTGTATCATCTTGTCTTTTACCATACTTTGGCCTTAAGCTCTTTATTCAGCTCTGGTATTTGCAAAACAATGCTTTGATAAAACTTTCCTGTTTCTAACTTTCTGCCTATCTCTCCAGGTTCTCCTCTCAGTGGTCCCTGTTATCTCTGTGTAAGGTGTGGAGCCACTGCCTGTCTCACACATGAGCTATCTATCCATCAGCTCACACATGACAACATGTCTTGATATGTAACAGTGATCATAGTTTACATATGAGATGATTTATGGAGATCACCCTTGGTCAGTAGCCTGATGGTTAACAATAGACAGCAGGAGACAGTTTGATGTGTTACTAACTCACCTACTGCAGGCTGCCTAAGCAAAGCACTGGACTTGCTATAGGATGGATGATGTGACCATCAGCTCACAGCCTAGAAGTTCTACACCTACCCTGCAGAATGCTTTGCGTAGCTTAGGAGGCATCTGGGTTGAAGAGGCTGCTCTCCCTTTGCTCTTACTATACCAAGTGGAGAGTGGCAGCTTCACCTCCTAGGGCAGTCAGAGTACCCAGCATACTGCTGTCCAGAGGATGGTTTCTGAGAGACTGCAGTATTTAACCTCCAGAAGTATCTTCCAACCTAAATTATTCCATGTTCACTTGGAGAAACTGCTCTCACCATTGCCCACAGACACAGTAATAGAAATTAGCCATAAGACACCACAAACAAGGCCCTGAAAATGCTCCCAGTTTCAGCATGAACAACGTGGGGAAAATGCAGACAAAGACTGAGCAGACATAGACAAAGAAAGATCTAAGGGGAAAAGAAAACCCAAAACAACCATGTATAAAACGCTCTGATCAAGCTCAGAAACACCAGTCCTACTTAATTCAGGACAGAGAGGTATTGGCTGGTAGCCTAGCGAGCAGATGAGACCAGCACATCCCAACAGTTGCACAGGGCAGTCAGAAGGAGCTGCAGGACTGCAGAGTTCTGGCCACAGCACACTCTTCCTTTCATCTGATGACTCTGATGTCTGGATCTTACCTTAACTTTTTAATTCCCTTCAGAACCAGAACCTTAGCTGCTGGCTATTCAAAAGCTTCACCTTGTAAAAGTCATCAGTAAAATACTATAGCTGCTTGGCTTGACTGAGCTGACAGTTCCAGAAAGGCCAAATGACTATTTTGGGTTTTACAGCTTTTAGAAGTAAGAGTTTCCTACCTACATACTCCTGTTTCTCCTTGGCCAGCTGCAGTCCTTGGGCTTCCAGGCTCTCAATCATGGCTTCCCCCAGCTGGGCATTCTTCCAGGTCCTAGGGAGAGCACACACAAAGCAGACAATAAAAGAGATCTAAGAGTCCCACAAAGAGAGGCAGAGGGACTCAGCCCAGCCATCTTATCAAGGAATTCAAGCACACTCTCAGAGGGAATGGCAATTCTCTAAATTCTTCTCCACAAGTGACTTAGAAATTTTCCTGACACTCAATAGCAGAAAGTTTACAGGAACAGTGCTTCAGCACAGCACAGCTATTCAAACATTCCTCTAGTGTTTCAGAGATTGCTGTACTAAGCTTAGTCTTAAGTGCTCCAGCTGCAATATGCTGTACTTGGAACACAATAAATGGATCCTGACAGACCTCAGAACCAAATTTTAGCTTTTAACTCAGCTAACATCCAATTTGCTGGTGAGATTGTCTTCCATTGTCCAATTACTATTTTAGCCAATTTTCCACTTCAAACGTTAACTATTTATTGGCCTCTTCTCACAGTTTTTTATCCTCAGCCTTCCTGGTATCCATCATCCATCCACCTTGCAGCAAATCAATTTCTCCACTAAATTGGTAAGCCACCAGAATTAGGTGTCTGGCCCTACTCTGAGATAAGTGCCTCTCCCTGTAAAAGCATTGAGGGATCAGAGATAAAAGCCAGATGAGAAGCTGACAGGTATGGAAAGTTAAAAGAAGCAGGCATATTCAAAGAATAGCCTGCATAACTGTAGTACCATTGACAAGAGGATCTCAAGGTCTCTTGAAAACATTACGAAACTAAGCTGCAAAAAAAGCCTGTGGAGCAGATACCCATTAGTGACTGAGTTGATGGACAGAGTAGGCTTCAATACAGAGACTAAATAACCAAGGATGCAGACACACAAATCAGAAACAGAACTAGAAATTGAGTTCACTGCTCTGCTCACTTCTATAGATTTTCCATTAGATAACAGTAGCTACACAGATAAAATACATTAAATGTACATGTAAAATTAATCCAAATCTATTTTTATAGGTGCACGCACAGAAAAAGCAATCACTGCCCAGAAGTTTTGTCTTCTTAGTTAAATCACAAGGGAGCTTATGAATTAGATATCTGTAAGCCTTCCTGCACCAGGCCTCTTTGTGAGCCATTTGAATCTCTTATAAAATGTTTCAGTGCAACCTGTGCCTTGTCTCTGACAGAAGCGAGACAAATATATTAAACACACATCACCCCAGGCACCTCACACCTCCAGCAGCCCAAGCCCTGAGCTCCTTGCAGACAGCTGGGTTTCTTTCCAACTAACGTGCATTTAGGATATTTCCAACATGCGGAGGAAATTAGAATGCTAATTTAAAAGGTGATGTTGTGCCCACAGGTAGATCTCTTCATCCTGAGTGAGAGCAAGTGGGTGTGAATGTGTTTTTCCACTGATGAGCTCTGATGTAGGATGAATCTGAGCCCAGAGAAGCCACCAGCAAACAACTGAAACAAGGGAGGGAGAGTTTATCATATAATTACATGGAGAGTTTCAAAATGGCTGCAGCCTATAATGGGTCTCTTTATTAAATTCATGTTTTCAGTGCTCCCTCCTTAGCCTCACAAGATGTATTCCTGTCTGTAACCTGAAGTTGCCTGCATGCAGTACATGCACTGACTACAGCTGAGAGGGGTACAAATACTTGGTTATTCTGTACTTCCTTCCACGCAAATTTTCCTTAGAAAATGACACGTTACTTGAAGTACTGTAAAGGGCCAGGAAGACTCTAGGAACAAGTAGAAAGTGCCTTTATAATATACTTATGAAGAAAAAAAAAGAAAAGAAAGAAAAAGCCCTCAATATTGTATCGTATGTATATCAACTCTACTTACTATCCAGCACAATCATCCTCTATTTCAATCCTTTTGCAGCACTAGAAACATCTATCCAGCTTTGCCTGCATTTTACCTCATTTGTGCACGTCCACAACCAGTTTCTAGAGATGCTTTGCACTTCATGGTCCACAGGGCACTTGTACTGCCCTAGTTCCTTCTACTTAACAGCTTAATAAGAATCATGTGTGTAACGGAGGATGAGTAGATGGGACACAATGTATGGCCCCTCAGGGATTCAGGCTATTTGGAGGCAGAACTGTCTAAATAGGTGATGTAGAGGTCAAGGGTGTACTTTGGCCAGTGGCCTAGAAGAACAGTGACAGGGAAGGGATCTCTGCTTAGAAGACTACTGGAAGCAAGGAGGAAATGGCACAGTGAAGGATTTCACACATACAGAGCCACTGGTAGGAGTGCCTGAGCTTGAGTTGGCTCTTAGGCCATGGCAGCCACAAATATCTATAGAGCAGATCCAAGAAAAGAAGGAATAGAAAGCAGCTTACACTTTTCCAGATTCCTGCAGCATCTCCAGCCACTGAGCCTGCTCAAACTCTGATTCAGCTGCTAGAACGATGTTACCCTAGAACAAGGGAGGGGGAAAATAAAACAAACAACAACAGAAAGAACAGATTAGTAGGCTGGTGCCTTCCATGCCTGTGTGCCCAGGGCATGGACTGGGCACTGCTATGGCAGAAGGAGACATTCACCTCCATGGGAGGCATCATATGGGACTAAATACGTCATTCTTGCTTGGAAGGAGATACACACAGCAAGCAGTCATGGCAAGAATAAAGTGGCAGGGAAGGGGAATAGGGAGAAATGAGCTCTCGGGTTCCCAAATCTCTATCAGCTGATTTGCTAGTATACCAAGAGCTGCTGCCAAAAGAGGAAGCTTCCTTGCTGGTTGTCATTGCAGGAGCAGTAGCAAAGATTTGAAGGGACTTGAGATGTGAAGCCACCCTCTCTCACAGGAGGGCTTGCCCAGAGAGGGTAAGCATACATTGACAGGGTGGAAAAATTAAGCTTAGCTCATCCACAATAACTGCTTTTGTTTTTACCTAGAGAACATAATAAAGAAGTCTACTTACATGGAAGTCTTCATGAGAGATCTTTATGGCATAAGGCATATTGGGCTCTTCTTTGGGTTCCACAATGCATCCCCCCAGGGGTATGACACCCTGGGGATGAACCAGAGCACTCCAATCAGTCATCAAATTCAAGTATAGTGCTTACAACTAATCAGGAACTGAGCTGCCACCCTTGGCCACTTGTGGGAGCCTGACCTGCCTTGTATTTTCCAGAGAGGCAATAGGCACAGCTCCTGAAAAGCAGATGGATTCCCATCACCACCACCAGACACACCAACCTCCAAGTGGTGTCTGAAAGGGGGTAAAGACTGCTCCCCTGCACCCAGCTTGGAGAAAAGGTTGAGGGCTAGAACTCAGGCGTGGAATCTGTTTTTTCAATGAATAGGTGACCTCTTGAGAAGAGCTTAACAGCATTTGCACAGGTTAGTACAGATTAGGAACAACCAGCAAAACTGGTTGCCTTTGCCAACTGTATTCTCACAAAATCAGTTGATGAGGAAATCGTGCAAACCAGGGGACACATTTACTATTAAGGGAAGAATTAAGGCCATGTATCTGATGAACCAGTAAGAAGCCTGAAAGAGAAACTGACAATTCTCACTTTTTTTTTTTTTGAGGCCTCTCTGGCCTTACCTCCTCTTCACTTGCAGTCTCATAATAAATAAAGAAATAAATAAAACAAAAAAAACCCACAACACAACAAACACCTATGAACAGAATAACCTCCTCTGCCACACAAACACTGCTCACCTTGGGGTGGATATTAAAGTATTTATTGCTCTCAAAGCTCTTCTTCTCACTCTCAGCATAGTAAAGCAGGAAACTCTCCTTAATGATGAAGAACCTTTAGGACAGAAAAGAAATAAATTCTGCTAGAACAGAGTTCTTGATTCACAGCACAAGAATATGTCCACCTGAAAGGTGAAGAGTTGACCATTCCCATCTAAACTTCAGATGGGATGTCTCACTTCTGTCCAAAGGTGCTAGTGCTTCACAGTGAACTCTAAGTTCTAGCATGCAGCATGAAGACAAACCATAGCAGAATTTACTGGCAGATAAATGGGACAGAGGTCTGCACCCAAGAAAGGATCCCAGCCAAAGTGTTTTGACATCTTGACCTGTGCCTCTTTTGTCTAGTTCATATAGTGGACTCAACCTATTGGAAGAGAGCCACCACTCTTTTTTTGTGGCTCTCTCACATGAGCTAAAAGCAATTACTAGCTTATTTTTTCCATCAGCTTCCTGTCACCCTCTGTCACCTCATTGCCTCTTGCCAGCTTAAGCCAGAAAGGAAGCATTCTCTCTGTAACACTGAGTCATATGGCAGGGAGAGCAACGAGGCAACATCCTTGAGCAACTCTCAAAGGCAAAACATTTGTCATGAGAGAACTCAGGAGCTGAGATGAATTGTACTGATATTTTTAAGCAGAGCTGTTAGCAAAGTCTTCTGCCACTGGTGTTTGTAAATAGGAAGGAAATTTAATTTCTTTTATGTGTCACATTAAAATGTGCCATGTTCTGCACAGTTAGCCTTAGGTATGCTCTGATGAATGCTGCATGGTAGCCATGAGCATCACAGCTCCTGTAAAGCAAGCCTGTAATTTACCAGAGCATGTCCTCAACATTATAATGTTGAGGAAAACCACTTCTAGCTTATTTGGATGTTCAAAATTCCCCTAGGAGAGTCCCTCTGCTTGAAGAAAATTGATGTTGCATTTACACTGCAGGCAATGGTACAGGAGAGAGACATTTGACTTCACTTAAATTCAGCCTGAATACCTGCAGCACTCAACAAAGCTGAGGGGCAGCTGAAAAGACAGAGACTAGTTAAAGAAGTTAACAACAAAGAAAATGTTTTGTACTTTCTATAGAAAAGATCTGCAGCAAGCTCAGGCTCTGGACCTACCATGAGCCTGCTTCAAAGCGTGACAGCTCGTGAACATGTGCACATTTACACACAGAAATGTTCAGAGCGTACAAAGAGCAGCAGCAATTCGTATGCCCCAGTTTCTCTTTTCCTTGCCCGTTCACCTGTACCTGCTGTGTTGCCACCGGCAGTGTGGAAATGCCCACTTGCTGTCTCAGCAGGACGCTGCTTTCTCACACATTGACCAGCTCCCCCTCGTGTCCTGATCACAGCATTGCAAAATCTCACTGGACGGAACAGCATGACCCAAGGTTCGAGTCTCTCTCTTCTGCGCTGGGCGTATTCAGTCAGCTGGGGACTGCAGAGGAGCTGATAGAGGGGAGCGCAGCCTGCAGCACCAGCCCAGAATCTGCGTTACTGTAAGAGGTGGCAAGGAGATCTACTGTCCGTGGGCACAATTGTTCTGGGAAGCACCATCCTAAACACCTCTCACCAGCATTGCAGGTAGGGGAGCAAGGCTGTTTCCTCGTGATAGCAGGTGGGGTTGAGGAAGAGCATCTCAGAATAGGTGTGGGGCTGAGCTGTGCACACAACTCAGACACTGACATAAGGCATTTTACAGATTTAGCAGCAGGCACAGCTGTTGGACACGGTCAATAGATTTGAAGGAAACATTTGATAAGCAGCTAAAGATGCTGATACTGAACTACACACCATTTCTAATCTAGCGTGCTTTAACCTCTGTTATAACCTCCACTTGCTACATACTTTTGGGAAACTCAGTGTTCCTGATAATCCCCACATAACGGATTATGCTCCAGAGGAAAAACAAAATAAGACCATGAACACTGATCTGTCCAGATTGACGTGCCTCTGACAGATGAGTGAACTTTCACACCCCTGACCTCATGAGCATGGTGAGAATCTGTGGGTATTTGGAATGAAAAAGTATAAAAATAGGAGCTTAAAAAAAATACAGTAAGTAACAGAAAAACCCACAGGCAATAAATAAGAAAGACTACTGGACATCAGCTGGTGGAGGAATAAAGAAGTTAGGAAACTGAGTAGTATCCTAAGCACCTGGAGAGCAGCAGCAGAGGGGAAAGAGGAGGCAGCACTCACTCTGTGCAGCACAAGGAATGCAAGAGCCATTAGGCAGCCCTTTGGGTTACCTGTTCTCTGTTGTTAGATCCTGCTCCAAGAAACCATTAGAATGACAGTGTAATAAAACTGGAATATAAGTGGAACAGTGACAAGCAGAGGGATTCAGCTGTGAAGGCGGAGATGATTTGGTCTTCCTGGATTAGCTGTACTGATCCATACCAGCCCGCAGGGATACCCGCTCTCTGGGGATAAAACGCTGTCTTTGTATCACAGAGGGCTCACGAGATTAAGTAGCTAATCATTGCACAAGTTTCTGAAATGAGGTGAGCGTTTACCTTACAACTGCTGCACTCTGGCTGCTCTTGCCCTACAGCAGGTTTCAGGGCACCAATCCAGGAGCACATGTGGCAGGTCCAGGTCATTGCAACAATTCTGATCCAGGTCTGGGATTTCAATTGCTAAATCGTCAACCACCAAAGCTCTGGATGCTCTGTCTGGACTTTTTCTCCAATCTGTTATCTGTTCAGTCTCTATCTAAGAGATAGATATCTCTATCAGTCTCTATCTCAAGCACATGGTACTTTTGACTGGTGCCCTATTGGTGTTATGGAGCAGAACCCAACTGCAGAGGTACTTGAATGTGCTGGGACAGCCCCGGAAGAACATGACACAGGGAGTCACAACCTGGCACCACCACACCACTCCCATCTGCCCTATGCCAATGCCTCTTTATGTCCCACTGCCAGGCTCAGCCCAATCCTGGGACCAGTTCTCACTTCCGTCGTCGGCTCTCCTGGCTCTGGAAAGCCCTCATCTCAAGTCCTACAAGCACCTCAGAGACACCTCCCATTTCCCAAATGCCCCACTGCTCTCCCAGGACCAGCTGCTGGGCTCACAGCAACCCTACCACACTGGCTCTGCCCTGCACTGCCTCCCACCTCCTCCCACTTGCTGTTGCTGAAATATTTACAGCTTGCTTAGGATGGGGGACTTGTAGGAATAGAAAAGCACTAAATAAATAATGAAAGAGCACCAGGCCATTTGCCTTTAAGAAATTTTGATTAGGAAGAAGAAAGCCTTTTAAGAATGTGTTCTTCATAGTAAATTACCTTCCCCTATGTTATTTTGTCCACTTGTTTTCACCAACAGCCACATCAGTTTCCAGATATCATCTATTTCAATAGCAATGCTTGCTGAGCAGGGAACACCAGCACAAGCCCTCTCTCTAGCAAAAAAACAGGCCATCTCTTTCAGGACAGCAAGCACAGCATAAAACCTGCACGTATCACACAGATGGCCACAAGCACACACTTCCCCAGCAATGCTTAACTACCTATTGAGCCAGGCCATCTTGGCAGGTTTAAATTGAAGTTCCACGAGAGCAATGCCACTTTCCAGCCCCAGAGACAGCTCGGATTCCTGTGGACTTCTGTTAACAATTAATTTGGGCCTCTTCCCAGGGGAAAGGTAGGGGAAAAGGAAAACAATACTTTGATTTTCTGGCACGTTTTCATCTGAGTTATCAAACTAGAGAAGCAAGGTAAGGTTATCCTTCTTTTAAAGACTGTAACAACAGATCTTGGGTTAGAAAATGTCTGGCAATATTAGGGGGAACACATGGAGCTTTACAGCTGCAGGTCTTGAAACTGATCAGCTTGCCAATGACATCCATCAGGAGTGACACTGACCTGCATACCAAGAATGCAGGAGGGAGAATTAGTCCATCAGATCACATACGTACCAGGAACCACAACCAGAGTTGTGCATAAGAATGTGGTACATTCCAATGTGCAGAAACATTCCAACCCAGCCGTCTTGCACCCAGGGAGCTCGTGGAAGAAATGAATCCCTATTGTTATCCTGCAGTGCCTGTATGATATGGTACAGGCATGCGAAGAAGAAAGCACACCTGTGCGAAGCTGGCTCAGGACAGCAGGGAAGCTCTGCCTGAAGCTTCACGCCTCAAATCTGTGGCGCTTAACAAGAGCCTGAGAGCTCAGCTGACACCCAGCCCCGCATCCCACTGCAGCAACCGCAGCTCACCTCCTGGACCACTTGGCCGACTGCCTCCCGAAGGGTCTCTTCCACAGCACTCCGTACAGCTGCACTTTGGTGCTGATGTCTAAAGCATCCGAATCTGCCTGCTCCATGGATGGAGAAGGGGACACGGAGCTGGATTTGGAAGCAAACATGATAGATGGGTTTGGTTCCAACTCTCCCCCTCTGCTCAATGGCTCAGAGAATCCGATTAAATGCAGCGAGCCAGAAGGACACAGTCAACCCGAGCAGCACACAGGCTGGGCTACGGACAGAATCAATAACGTGGCTGCTCAGCACTCAGTCAATAATTCCCTCCCTGATGCACAGACAATGAAGCTTCTTCATTCCATATGGCTTCCTGATGCATTAAGAACAGAGCACATCCCAGACTAAGAAATGAATTAAAAAAAAAAAAAAAAGCAAAGAGAGCCTGAAATCAGGCAAACAGGAGGCAGAGAGAGCTCACCAGGCAGAAAGTCATAATATAAGCATAAGTGCCTCCATGAAAGAGCCAGCCAGGATATTGCACTCAGCTTTGCAGCAGACAAGGCAGCAATCAGAGCGAGATGGACACTTGGCTGCTGAACATCTCTCACACATACCCCCAAATCTTCTGCCTGGAGGCAGGTCTTCATCCACTCAAGGGCAAGGGAGCAGAGCAGCAGGAGCCAGCGAGCTCAGCCTGCCTCCATCTGCCCACTTTGGTTTTTGTGCTAGCCTGGCTCTGCCCACCCAGGACACTCACGTGGCTGCTGGGTCTGTGCTGAGCAGTGTTCGTGTTCATCCTTAAAGGGCCATCACTGATGGAAGGTTGAGGATCACAATGCTGTCTGCCCTGTGCTTCAGCCTCTACGTGCTGTCAGTACAGTCTCTGCCCTTCCTACCTCCCCTCCCCCCCCAGGCTCCAGCTGCTTCTGGGCCAGACCACAGGTTCACGAGCACAGCATGCAGGTCCAGATCCCAAAGCCCTTGTTCACCCCCGAGATCCCCCTTCCCTGTATAAACACACACACACTCTCAGCTCCAAAAACACTTCAACCTCCGTAATACCGACAGGACAGCACATTGTCATCATGTTGTTCTTCCCTGGGACCACCTCTATTAATGGAACATGGTGGCAGAACCACCAGCTTTGCCTCCTGAAATGCACCTGGAGCTTTGAGGTATCAAATAATCAATTCGTGCTGTAAGACATCTGCTCCAGTTTTGGCTTATGGCACCCTATTTGCATTGACATCAAACTGTCAGCCATTACTCAGAAGTGACACCCTGAAGGCACGCAATTCAGGAACTAGCTATGTGCCATAGGATGCACCAGAGCTTTACATGGAGACAGGCAGCTTGGAGACCACTTGCAAAGCATCTTAAGCAGAAGAAACTGCTGCCTGCCTCAAGGATATATGCTGCCTTTGGCATTGGAGCGGTTACAGACATGAGTCCCTGGTAAATGGGTTCCTGGTAAATGTCACTGCTGATGACCTAGATGAGAGACAGCAGTCCCAGCGCCCTGCTAGTTCCCCAGCTTTGTCTGCTGGCCTGGTTTCAGGTGGGACAGAGTAGATTTTCTTCATAGTGTCTAGTATGGTTGTATGGGAACTGCTGAATCACAGCCTGAACCTCTGATTGAGGCGAGCAATGAGTCAGCCTCAGGAGCAGAGGTGAAGGCAATTCACCTGTGCTGCTGGAAGGGGTGGAGCCTTTTTCCACCTCTCCTAGATCCATTTAAGAGCTGGCTACCAGTGGGAAATGATCTCTTCTAGAGATCCCTCCTCTGGAGTTTTACAGTGAGCCCAGGACACAGGTAAGCACTCTATCTATTCTCTTTTTGTATAATAACCTGCTTAGCCAAACTCTCTGGTATATTTCATAATTACAATATCTGTATATTCATTGATTATAGAATGGTGCTATGTTCTGGGGATACTGCATATTGTGGAATATGAAAAAGGAACGCTTCAACCAGGACTTCAATCACAAGTGGGAACTACAAGAACTGAAGTGCTGTTGCTCTTCATGTTCCTACTTACTCATTCAGCTGCTCCCTCAGCTCTAATCTGCAGCAGCCTCTGCTCCTTTTCCTCCTTGATCTTCCTCACCACAAGGACTGGGCTCATGCTGCAAAGGACAGCGAGACAATGTACCTCTTGCCTCACTGCACTGTGGTTATCTGCAGCTTGCCCCTCTGCAACTGAGCAAGGAAAACTTGACTAAGAGTTATTATAATAAAAGCCATTCAGGGTAGCATTAAGGCTTGCGGCAGGTTTTAGCAGCCCCTTTCACCTCAGTGTAACATTAACGACTCATATAAACTTGTTTCTTTAGACATTAGCATCCATTAATATCCACAGACTGCAATACAATGAAATATCATAAGCAACCACCGTGTGGGACACGGGTTGGGCACAAACGCACAGACCTAGCATTACTCCCAGTGGCCCAACTATTTTCCAATGATTTCATCTTGAATTTCAGAATTTCTAGATACTGTACAGGTTTGGTGTCAGTCATAATGGAGTTCACTTTTCAGTAGTTTTACATGTTTTCTGAACAAAGCATTTTTTCTTAATCCAAAATTCACTGTAAGGGCTTGCTAACCTCTGCATATCTTAGGCAGGAGGCAAAACCACTGTGGCAAGAAGGGACAGTGCTCTGCAGCTCTGCCTGGGGTGACACCTGGGTAAGGCTTGCATGCATCAGCAGAAAGGTTCAATTTGTAAGCTGGAACAATAAGTAAATGACAGCTCATCACCTCCTTGCTGCAGTACTCACCCTTAATGAGTCTCATTGGAATGCCAATGGAAAAGGAGTTTTTTTTCCTTCAATGAAAGAACTCTCTGCAGCCATCATCAGGAAGTCTGCAGCACCACAGCTTCTCAGTTCTGAAACTTTGTATGGTAACTTTTGTCATATAAATACACCCAAAGCACTTCCTCCTTCCTCACTGCTTCACAGGATTTACATCAGGCTGCAGAGTTCATATCTAATTACTCAGAAAAACATTTCTATTAAATACAATAAAAGTATCTTGTCTTGCAAATTAAGACAGCATAAAAAGATAACATTTCTTTCCTAACCACAAGTCCTATGAGCTACCAGAAGAATAATAGCAAACAATCAGCTGAGATGCTGCTTATTGCTCAAGTGACACACATCTCAACCATGGCAACTGTTTGTCATGGGGTTGTCAACAAACCTGTACCACAAGAGAAAGAAAAAAATCCTTCTGCTGTTCAAGTACATCTAAATCCTCTCTCTCTATCAAGGGCATTGCTTAAATGGATGTGTGAAGGTTCTTTGCTTTCAGAATAAATACTTCCCTCATCCTTAGCGCCATTCCCCTTCCTCTGAAATTGGATGTCTAAAAGCCAGTCCTGCTTACAGGGCAGTTGGAGAGTACAGACAA